GGATGGTCAGTTTTCTTTGTAATTGCCATTACTTATATTTTTCTGCCATTTAAACTACGGCAAATGGTTTTCACTTTCCGTTACAATAATATCCATCATTTCTTGCAGTTGTGTTAACGAACAGAACAGGACGGGCAAAACCAGTCTTTTATAAAATAAAGAATATGTTTTGCAATAAATCCATGTCATTTCAGGTGAGGAAACGAATTCTTGCATGGACAGCTAAGAAGAGCAACCCAAATGTTTTGAAAGAGGCGAATGCTCGAAGACAACCTAACACAAACATCAGAAAGAGACAGTCATCACTGTTTGGTAATTTTTTGTGAAAACGGGAACTAGAACATGTTGTGGCCACTGGAAAGATCTGTGAAAAGAGGGACAGAGGTAGACAACGCGAGAAGATTTTTGACAACCTTTTAATGTGGCATGGAAGGGTGTCAACACATGAACTGATACACGCAGTCGCGGATCTCAGATTGTGGAGAGGCACGATCGTCCACACCAGTCGGCAAGGCACTTGTTGATGATCTCGGCTTCGAAGATGTCATTGAAGTGCTTTACTCCCAGGTCACATAATTGTGTTAGTACAAGAGATTCGTCATTATCCAATAGCCTGGTTCGCTTGCGGATCCAAAGGTCGTGAGTTCAGGTCCTGACAAAGTTGGATTTTTTTTTAATGATCTTAGCTATTAAGTCGACCAGGTACCAGGTAAAGTCCTACCAAGTAAAGACCTTGTGTTTATCGCTTGGTGGATGTCCTAGTGGCGTTTTCACTCGCTTAAAACATTATAAACGTTCAAAGGGAATTAACCCATTTATCCCTAACATGCAAGGAATTTACATAGCTGCTTTCCTTGACGTTATTTTCATCATCGTCATTATCATTATTTTCACATGAACGAAATCCACACACATAAACACACACACCAACCCACAAATACCCGCACACACACACACACGCCCCCACACGCACACTCTCACATTCACGAAAGATATAAACACACACAGATATATATATATATATATATATATATATATATATATATATATATACACACACACACACACACACACACACACACCAACACACAACAACAACAACAACAACAACAACAACAACAACAACAACAACAACAACAACAACACCAAAATCAGTCCTTGCCAAGCAGCAAACAGTATGGAGATTTTAAAAAAAAAACACTTTATGCAAGACTAAGATTCGATTGCTCGAAGCACTAGCTATTAGTGCATTTACATATGGCTGTGAAACGTGGACCTTAACGACTGAACTCGAAAGGAGGATACAAGCGTTAGAAATAAGATGTTTCCGAAAAATTCTTAGCATATCATACAGAGACCACATTACAAACGAAGGGGTTCGAAATAAAATTTTACAGCATATTGACAACTACGAACCTCTTTTAACTACAGTGAAAAGTCAAAAAATGCAATGGCATAAACATGTCAAAAGCTCTAACGGTCTCTCTTTTACAATACTACTGTGCTCATTAGAGGGGAAGAGGCAGACCAAGACAGACTTGGTTACAGAAACTGCCCCTTGTGACAGCCAGGGTGCAGCATTAAAATAAAAAATTAAAATTAAAAAAAATTGCATCCCATATAGGGACTAACGTGTTTTTAATGGTTCGTCTTATTCTAATAATCCCTCTCTAGCATTTCAGTTCGGAAGTTTTGATTGTCTCATTTGATGATTAGTCTTTAGACTAAATTAAATATGTACTGTGAAATAATAATAAGATCCATACATAGTATGCCACGAATATCCTTTAGTCGGCATTTTGTGAAAAACCTGCGATATGCCGACAAAATAATTGTGATCGCTAAAAATGAAACATGAAAATAATTTTGCCCTGTGTGTTCAAGGGAAACAACAGACTGAACTTCGTGAAACTCTAAGACGTGTTAGTTTCAATTTTTTCCCTTGCATAAAATGTCCAAAGTTCAGTTAGGAACAATATCTTCGTATTGAGGTATTATTCTCTATCGTCCTTTTCAGGATGAAATTTTTTATTTGAAGCTCCACCCTGGCTTTAGCCGGGGGCCGCAATATAGGCAGGCCATAAGTATGGCCAAATGTCTGAACGCGGTTTCTGGGACCTCTCCACGGCGATCCTCATCCACATGGTGGCACTTTGTGTCATCGGGTGTTTATCGCTTGTGTGATGTCCTGGTGGAGTAGAAAGTCCGTCAGTTAGGAACATTTGTTGCCCGTTTGAGGAGCGGCTGGTCGAGCGGTAAGAACGCTAGGCTCTCAAGGTTCGAACTCTCGGTAAGACTGGGGATTTATTTCTATCTTTGGCAAAATTAAATCCTTGCCTGTTCAGTCGTGGTGACAGTAGTAGCCATGCGGACCTAAATCCTCAGACTCAAAGACCCCAATGCCTAAACCACAAAAATTGTATAATAAAGGCAGTAATTGACAGTTGCCTGTTTGAGTTCCTATGCCCTTAGTGTGGGGAAAGCAAGAATAGACCCACTGCCTACCCAACGAGCATGTAGTGGGGAATCGACGAATTGTGGGCCTCCCTCGAAGTCAAAGTGCATCTGCCCAAGCGGCAAGGAACAAACTGCACACAAATTACCAAGTGAAACGGATGTACACCCCAAAACCCAGGCCTTGGCACAAAGCCGAATTCCAAAAGAACAAACAACCATGATTTTCCAGTGGAGCTTACAGTGAATAAGAAAAAGAGGTAGACAGAACACTTGTCTGCCTAACTCTTTATTAATTGTATATTAACTTGTAAAAGAATAAAGGCCATTTATCAGAGTCTAAACTTTCATGCGTTCATGGTGAACATAAACTTTTACCATCAATTTATAGTGTCAAATTCATTATCAACCGTACCGTTAACATATGTATATAGCTTTATAGCTTCGAGACCATTAGCAATAATATATCCGATACATTTAGCAGTACATTACAATATCCGGGGGGTGACGGGGGGGGGGGGGGGGGGAGAGTAGGCCATAAATGCAAACACTTGTCACATTCTTCTTCTTCTTCTTCTTCTTCTTCTTCTTCTTCTTCTTCTTCTTCTTCTTCTTCTTCTTCTTCTTCTTCTTCTTCTTCTTCTTCTTCTTCTTCTTTTTCTTCTTCTTCTTCTTCTTTTTCTTCTTCTTCTTCTTCTTCTTCTTCTTCTTTTTCATCTCTTTCTTCTTTTCTGAGTTCATTCGAAGATGTAAGTGCGTTGTGTCCGCTTACAGCAAAGCTGCGATATTTGCGCCTTTCGATTGACACATCCGACTTCTGCAGGAGTTTGTTGATCAGGTTAGCCCTCCCTGTTTCATCTCATTCAAAAGATCAATAAATTCTTAGTGAATGTAGCTTTGTGGAAATAGTTATTTAAGCCAGAACCTGTGGACTCAGACTGTAAAACTAAGTGGAACGTTCTGGTTTTCCGTCCTTGTCTAGACTTTGATCCTTTATAAAGATCTGCATTTTGCGTACACATCACCTTTACATATTTGCTTTTTGAATGCAGACTGTTGGTTTCTCACCTCTGATGCAGACGCACTCCAGCTATTAAAGAAACACCCCTAATTGATCAACTCCTACTAACTTTTTTTTTACCACGACATGTTCATAAGAGAGCTGACAGTGCGTTTGTCCCCCCTACCCATCCCGCCCTTTCTTTTAACCCCTCACAATGAAGCCAATAGAACGCACACGTGAGAAGCTAAACTGTTATACCCGCCTCCCCCCCCCCCCCACCCCTTTTTTTTTTTTTTTTTTTGAGGCCCCATAAGACTCATACATTATACGTCCTAGACAATTTTCAGACGCATTGTTCCTCTGTATGTATATTTTTATATAAACATGAAATGAGTTAATCTGAGTAAAGAATTGACATCACAGCACTCAGGTCATTCTTATACATGCTCCGTCCACATTTTCAGCAGCCAGAGAAGAGTTCCAATACTGATGGCACCGGTCACAAGTTTAGTGAGCCGGCCAGACCCTGTGGTTACACCAAGGTGCCCTATCCTCTTCAGGCCATTTTAATCGTGTTTCTCTGCCGATTCTGTTGCTTGTCCCCTAGGTCCTTGATCAAATCTGCCTTGTCATGTATCAGTTCACCACACAGTTGTTCAGATCCAGCCAATCTGTCTGACTGTTCATTACCCACCACGCCACCATAGCCCTGAGAAAAGATCCAAAGTATGCTTCATACCCGTGACCTTCCCAGTGAAGCTTGCCACTCTGCTCGAAGTTTTATATAAACATAACTTTCACTACGGATAATATGCAGTTGCGGTCTGAAAGATGAATGCTTGGAAGGACCGAATGCAAGACATGCCTGCCATATTATGGATACTGTTAAGTTTATTGCATAGTGTTTACGAAAGCTGGCGTAACTTTATATTTTTATCATTTTTAACTTTGAAATTAATAGATAGCCATGTAAGACAACGGTTCTCAACCTGCGAACCTTTTTGGGTCGCCTAAGACCATCGAAAAAAATATATTCACTTAAGTTATGAAGTAGCTATGAAAAAAAAATGAATGGTTAAGAGTAACCACAACATGAGGCGCTGTATCAAAGGGTCGCGGCATTAGAAAGGTTGGGATCCACTGGTGTAAGATGTTTTACTGTTGTTTTTTTAACCTCTACATGCTGGCGCATATTTACATGTTCTCTTATCCAACAGTCCAAAATGTGTACATGAATTCCCAACAATGTTAAAGTGTAAAAAATCTGTACCTTTTACCAACACTTGAGAGTGTAAGCAGTCTACAGACTTTTTGAACTATCTAAAGTGTAAACAGTCTACATACTTCCACAATGGTTAACAATTTTGATCTGCACATTTTGTCAACAACTTAAAATGTAAATACTTGACAAACTTTATCGATATTTGAAAACGAAACAATTATATAGTTTTTCGACATTTCAAAATGAGAATATCTACACACTGAATCAACGCTTCAGAATGAAACACTCTACACACAGTATCAGCAGTTGGAATGAAGTATTCTAGACATGTCTAAAATACATGTACGTATGCAAAATGCTTCGGACTAAGTTAAAGTGCGTCATTCTCCAGTGAGATGACGGACCTAAAGGATTGCACCCAACATCACAGGTTTTGAACCACCATCCAGCCTTGTCTTCCCTGGCACAATTCCCTGTGGTGTTCAGATCTCGGTCGTGGTCAGCTGTAGAAAATGGGACGCCTTGGACAGGAGTCAAACAGTCCCCATACACCCCGCCCTCTGTATTTCTGTCACTGGCCACCGCAGTGAAATTATATCCCATCTCTTCAGATCCGATTCGAAACTGTGTGAAGGAGTAGTAAGGTAACAGGATACTGCCGCTAACGTTGACAGCAGTTATGAGAAAAACTTCTGTGTGGCCTGTGTCGATGAGGAGTTTTATGTTCCGCAGACCTAGCCAATAGTTTGTGTCGTCATGCTCGAACCCATTGACGTAGTCTGACCAGGTCATCGTGTTGTCGTATTCGCCAGTATTGAACAGTATGTAGGTGAAATATTCATTCCTGTCCCTGTAGTAGCTACAGTGAGCAGTAAACGGCTGCGGTGAGGTTTTTGGGTGAAGCACCAGGCGTTCATGAAAGCCGTCTTCGTACCCGTACAACGCCATTTCCCTACAGTTTCGCGGGTAGCGCTCACAACGGTCGCCTACCCATCCACCAGTGCATTTACAGGTAAAGCGAACCTCATTCCACACGCCGTTGTGTTCACATGGATTCTTTACATACAGCTTAAAGGAGAGATCCATGGGAGAGCATTGGATTCTTTCTGTGCAGTTGGCATGATGATAACACACTTGATGGTCATCCAGGTTGACACCACAGCAACCGTCCTGACAGGTCGCCGCGCATTTGACCAGACTTTGGTTTTTACCTTCCTTCCGTTGAGCCCAGCCATTTTGTACTCGCAGTTTCAGATTGCAGGTGATGAATTTGTGGAAGTTGGTGTACTGTTGCCCGCTGTTGCAATGTATCATCTGCACAAACATTACCATAGAGATGATACCAGCAACACAAACCTGACTATAGCTCTCCATACAGCACCACTTTTATCTTACAGGAGTGTGTTTGCAAAAGGCAGACAGGTCTTGGTTAGAGTATATCAATGTACCAGCAGTGTGGAATGCAACTCAGATCTGCGTTAAATATTTTATCTAAATCACAAAATCTAGTTGCTGAATGTTCACAAGTGCACATTGATATTTGTCTTCATTATTAGTCAAAATCATAAAGTCTAGTTATATCCACGGATGCTGGCCTATACTGGTCTCCAATAGAAAATCGGCCCCTTTCTCCACATCAAGGCAACGATCTCTTGGATCCTTGTGTGTCAGACTATCTGAGACTAACGTATATGTTGTGACATTGTATTATCTCAATTTTTATATAATACAGTCAATGTAACATGATTTTTTTTTTAATTCTAGTAAAGTCAACAACAGACGAAGTCAGCTTGATGGGATCTGGAAGTAGACTGTTTTGATTATGGCAACCGTTTGAGCATCGAACTGTTAGGAGGTAATAACAAAAACAACAGCAAGTAAAAACTTCTTAATAGAACAACACTGCAGCCATCAAATGCGGAACTGGTTTGCACAATCTTGAAAATTACCTTCAACAGATAACTAAGTAATGCAACTGTCCCTTATTCGCCTGTCCTGGTATAATGGAACAAATGCAACTTGAATTTATCTATTCGTCTAATTAGTTCAACAATTTACACCTTAAAAGTCTCCTTTCGTCGCTTCTTCTGCTATATCTTTATTTTAAGCACATTAGTCTTTTTATGTTCAACTTGCAGTGTGAAACAAGCATGTCTTAGCAATTAAATACAGATTTTGTCTGCCCCCTTAATTGTTGTCATAGCCTTATGTAATGACCCACGCTTTCTAATTAATATAAAAACAAACAGGCGTTGATTGGTTGACGTATGCGCAATTCAAATAGTTTTAACCATGCTTTGTCGTAAAGACTGTTGACAGTTCATGACGGAATTACCAAAAGTTGTGGGTCTTGTGCAACTTTATCTAGGCCACGTGATTTTATGACGAGGACTAATGTGCATCAAAGGAATTAGGACACCGTCATGCTTTCCGGATATAAATATTGTACCCAGTTCGGAATAAAAAATTGTTGAATCAATTAGTCGATTTCTCAGAACAGGTCGTGGGCCTAGTGCTAGGTCCATGACTATTGCATGCGATTGTTGCGTGTCATGGTTAGAGCCAAAAACAGTTTTAAGAGAAAAAAGGGAAGAAAATTAAAAGGACAGCAAAGTGGTGCATGCTGATATTGATTTAAAAGGTAAAGTACCTTTTCTTTGCGCCAGTGGCGTTTCGGGACAATGGAAGCAGACTACAGACTAAACACACAAGCGATGGATATGCGGACTATCCAATGTCTCTTCAAAGTCAGACTCTGAAAGATGAAACTAGGCCAATGTAGTAATAGTAGTCGAGGTTTTAACTTCACTACAGTTGGGTCACCCTATACATGCTCCGTTTCTGCGCCAGTTGAAAAAAAATACAATAAAAAAAAAAAAAAAAACAGTAAGTCCCAGCACGATCCGTAAATATGGGCAAGCAATATATGCAAAAGGCAAGTGCTAGTGGCACCAAAGCCAACAGTCGCCACAAGAAATGCAGTCTGTCGTTGATAGAAGTAGTCAGTCACGATAAGTTGGCCATACACGCAAAATTATTACACAATGTATTCGCTCACCCACACTTAAAACGGCTACCCTAGCCAAACTGAATACCATGACATAACCGCTGCACAAATGAAAGGCATTCTAAATTTGAAAAAAAAAAAACTGCTTACGTCTATATGTGGAAATTACATTAGCAAAGCGCTGTCAGGAGCAAAAATAACCAGTAGCAAAGCGACCCCAATCCTCCATATTAGGCCGGAAGTGTAACTAGAGAAGAAGATGGCGCATTGAACAAATGATGCTTGGTTCTTATTTCTATATACCAATCAGCACTCGACGGGTGGGTTTGTCAAAATCACGCAGACCACCTTTATTTTCCAGGCATACATTTTAGACTGGGTCGATCAGGGAGCCAAATGATTCATAATTTGCGGAAGTATTGTTTATAAGGGGTGGGATAGTTTTCTCTAGGGTTTGTTCTATAAATGCACCTTATAAAGCTTTTAGTGTCATATTTTATGTATATCCCCCTTTTCAGGTCTAGGGTAGCAGTTTTCTTGAGAATAGACCCAATGTCCCTTAATGACCATGTACCAAAAGGCGACTAATGAAGTATTTGCTAAATTGAAAGTGTTGAGCCCAGAGGGCGCAGATATTGCAGCCTAGCCGTAAACTGCACATAACACTGTTGCCAGTTTGTCTCTTCAAAGACTGCCAACAACTGCCTTCATTTACCACTTTTGCAGTGTAGCGGGTCTTTGAGTCTTGAGTTTAGAGACGAGAGGCCTGTGCAGTGGCCACGGACTGTGCAGGTTTGGATTCCTCTTTTTTTTTCTTTCCCTGACAGACACAGGTATACACATACACACCCCATAATCTTACCGAGGACTCGACGCATAACTGCCCCGCGTCGGGGAAATACTGATCTAGGGTATGATTAATCTTCGGTCACACACACACAGGGTTCCCTCAGATGAAAACAACCGCTGAGTTCCTGCAGGAAGGCAAAGAGTACAACAGCCGTTATGGCTACAATTATGGCCCAGCTATATTCAGGGCCCCCGGCAAAAGCCAAGGTGGAGCTTTATAAAACGAAAAATGGCATCCCACAAGGGAATGACTAGGACATTAAGTAGTAGTAGTAGGAGTGTCGGCTCTGTGGCTAAGTCGATGCGAACGCTTCGTAATGCCGGAATGCCGGTGTCACATATCACTCCTGTCACGTGCCTGATGTAAGGATTTCTCCTTCAGAACCAGCAGCACTCAGAAATAATTATGTTGAGTCGTTTGGCTCGTATTGGTCTAAAGGATTCCCCGTGGCCAATATACGCTCAACTTATTTCTGGAGTAGGGAAACTCAAGTATTGGCACTATAAAATATATCAGTATATGAATACAATATTTCTAGGCACACTTGGCTGGACACCCCCACTACTTACTAAAGAAAGCCCCCAGGTTATGATAAGTCATTATCATAACCATGTTAACACATATAGCTAAGATTCAAACACACAAATGCTACACATTTCAAAAGGTGAAATAGAGAAACCTAAGTCAGCCATGAAAATGAATGCATGTAATCATTACAACATGTACAAAATAGAAAATAGTGAAGTAGATGTCGAAACACAACAGCTGGATTCCAGAATACAATGACTATAATCAACCAAAGTTAAACAGTCAGAAAGTCCTGGAGGAAGAATATGTTCATCCTTGGAATCCAGTGGAGCTGTGGGGAATATAGCATAATCGAGACATAAACTTCACTTATCCCAGCTCCACTGTTGATGCCTCACTCAGCTCCGGGTGAATCGACTGTCTTTGACTCTGGTACTTCTGCTCAACTGGATCAGGTAATGGAAGAGTACCTCACCATAGAGGACGCAGCAACTGGATAGGCACACAGCACCTTGATAGGCACACCGCAACTGGATAGGCACACACCAACTGGATAGGCACACAGCAACTGGATAGGCACACAGCACCTTCTCCTACGTGTAACTCACAGCACGGTCCCTGAGCTACACACATGCTCTGGCACTGGATGATGTTTGGTTTATATTGTACCCCATCTTGAGGAGGACAGTCTTCTCAATTGGTAGTTGGGTGATAATAAGTAGGTGATGGGTTAATTGATTGATGGGTTATGGGTTATGGGTTATGGTTGGTGGGTGTTGGTTGGACTGTGAATCTTCTGCCAGCTCCTCACAAAGGATTCATCCTGCCAAGAAAAAACTCAGAATTAGTCATCACCAAGAGGGTAACATCTTGACAGGAAAGACAGAACAAGCATCAGTCATATCCCACATCTGCTTACTCCACCCTTGCTCCCCTGTTTCATTCTTCAGAATGCCTCTCAAGACCAGGAGACACAAGTCTCCTATCATTCATCTGTCTGTTTAGTGCAAGAGATGGAAAGTCAGATAAATAATGGAGATAGATCGACACTCTAACACAAATATCAATCTCTCTCTCCCCTCCCCTCTGCCCACAGACACCAATATTTACTGTCAGTACCTTTATTCCTTACGACTCCCAAAGTCAGTCCCACCATTCATTGATCTGGGTCAAACACACTCACACACTGGCTGACAAGGTCCTGACCCAATTCTGTCCCCATTTTGTATGCACAAACTTCTATTGTTAGTTTAAATAGTACACACTTGTAAGGTTATTAGGTTTACCAGTATGGGTCGGTTATTTAGGGCATAGGCTATTTAGTCTGTACAGAGGAAGGTCTACGTTCGAATCCGCTTCTCTAGCGATCAAGAACGGTCGAACTATGTGTGATCCCACAGCCGATACTGATCTCTCTACAGCAGTGACTACTTTAACAGACATCATTTTAGGTACTCGTAAACTATAATTAACTTACCCAAGCGTATGAAAGGTCCTAGACATTACAGATCGCCTTGTTCAAATGAATTATACAGGCATCGATTGACACGTCTGGACGCTAGGAAGCCGGCAAGAGAGAATGCCGCCAATTGCGCACTTCAAGCGTTGGTAAAAAAGGAGTTCCCAGTATACATGGGCAATGAGTGAATCGGTTTCTAAGAAACCTCAAATAACTCCTCTAATATTTATCCAATATATATA